GCCAAGGCTGGTCCGATAAGAAGAGGTGGTAATGCCTCTGAAATAGCATATTTAAGAGCAAGGAGGAAAAAAAGCGGTTCTTGTGCAGTTGTAATTGTGGCCAGATAAGAGCAGYGTAAGAATATGTGAGAGGAAAGCTCTGCAGACACCAAGGTCAATGGAGAAGGAGGGTAAGGAGCTGCTCCAGTCACTGAAGCATCCATTCTCCCYGCCTGTGGTGAAGATGATGGTGAAGCAGCTGTYYCCCTGCAGGCCAAGSAGGGCACAGGAGTGCAGAGATTCACCTACAGCCTCTAAAGAGCCTTTGCTGGGGCAGGGAGAAGACTGAGAGGAGGCTGCGACCTTGTGGGAAACCCATGCTGGAGCAGGATTCTGGCAGAATTCTGTAGATATCTGTGAATAGAAAAGCCCATGCTGGACCAGGTTTGCTGGTAGGGATTGTGASCCCATGGGGGACCCATGCTGTTCTTGAAGGACTGACCCTGTGGAAAARYGACTGACATTGCAGCAGTTTGGGAAGGACTTTAGCTTGTGAGTTGGACTTASATYGAAGAAGTTCATRKAGARCTACCCACCATGGGAGGGACCCTRTGCTGGAGCAGGAGAATGACTTCTGTCCCTGAGCAGTGTCCCATTCCTGTCTCTCTGCACCACTGTGGGGAAGGAGGTAGAGCTGGCAAGGAGGGAGGGTTGGGGGCGAAGGTATTTTTAGGTCTTGTTTTACTTTTTGTTATCCTGCTCTGATTTTGTTAGTAACAAATTCAATTAATATCTCTAATTAGAACCTGTTTTGCCTGTGACAGTATTTAGTGAGTGATCTCTTCCAGTCCTTATCTCAACTCATAAATCTTTGGTATATTTTCAGTTCCCTGTCCAGCTGCAGAAGAGAGAGACAGAGAGGCTTTGGTGGGTGCCTGGGGTGCAGCCAGGGTCACCCCAGTACAGCAGGACACCCCGTACTGGCACAGGGTTCTCCTTGGKCAGGTGCTCCTCTGGCTCTCAGGCCAGGAGAGAGACAGCAAGGACAGTCCTGACTGCTGCCTGTGGAAGAAGGGCAGGGAACAGAGCAGGGCAGAGACCCCAGCATGGTGCTGCTTCTCTCCTGCACCTCTCTTCACCACAGGTGTGTCTGGCAGCTTCAGTGCTTTGGGAAATCACACCTGTATGATTTTGAAATACTCCTGGATGTGTATGGAAAGAGGAAAGGRTCTTCTGGGCTCACACCCACCAGATGCAAGTGGCACTTGGGGAACCCTCTGGTCTCACTCTGCACCACCCAAGGCAGATTGACAAATCTGGTCCTGATGTCTGCCTGTCATTTGAGTGTCTGCTGCTGTGGTGACCACACCACCAGCAGGTGACTGCTGCAGCACCTGTTGCATGCAAAGGGACATCCAGGGSCATCTAACATATGACTGCTCCAGGCAGGTTGCTGGGACACCCATGCACTCAGAATTTTTTGGGATGGCCAAGAGCCCACAGGTCCTGAACAGCAAATAGGACCTGGCTCAGGGGATTAAATCAATGCGTTCTTGTGCCAGCTGGTGCTACTCTTACAACCTGAGAAGATCCCATAGAGTTACATTTTATTTTTAAAAAGAGAAAAAATGAAAATTTAAGAGGATTAACTATCACATGTGGCACAGAGATTGTCTGGAAAGACCAGCTTAGCTTTCCTCTGTGGGATTAAGCTGATATTAGTAAATACAAACCCTAAACAACATTGGGAAGCCTAAATGGAGCCCAGCACGATTGCATCAATTTAAAGAATCTGATAAAGAATATTTATGGAATTTCTAAATTTATTGAAGGCAGCTGAAGGCAACAATGTAAGACAAACGACAAAGTCACCAGAATTTGGTGCCCTGTTCCTCTGCTGAGAAATGACATCTGCACTTTATTCAAAGGCTCCAGTAGCAGGAATTTGACTCTATAAAATATTGGAAGGTAGCTGGTTAAATTCAAAGAAAATCGCTGATAGAAAAGCAAAGAAACTCTGCATCYGCCTTGGTGAAGAAGGAGCTTTGGTGGATCCCCAGAATGAACGATCTCCTCTGCAAACACTTGAAAAGTTCTGTCCTACCAATGCAGAAGGTCATGTGAATAATAAGATGGAGGAGATGACATTTCCAGACAAACTAAGTCACGAAACTCAAACATTACTGCAGCATTCCATCTGCTAGTTACACTCTCTTTGGTGCCTTCTAGTTTTCACCAGATGATGAGAAGAAAAGAACCTCTGCAGAGGTGGTCAGAGGGACAACAGATGAGTAGGAATCCTCACAGTGTGGGAGACACAAAGCTGCAGTAAATGCCAGATTTGGTTGATGTCTTGGCAAACTGTGACAGAGGTCAGACCGAGTCCAACTTCTGCACAGTAAAATCACACCTCAGAAATACACCTCCTCTCTGGAGGAGTCAACAAGACATGGGTGTTGGACACCCCCTGGTCAGCTGGGAAGAGTTTTTATCAAAGCACACAGTGGACAAGCTGGCATAGGTTAGGGAAGAAGATCCCATTGTGATAAATCACAGAACGATTCGGGCTGGAAAGTCATTCAGCCCTACCTCCCTCCTCAAGAAGAATCCCCCTGAACAGTCACTCAGGATTGTGTTCAGATGGTTTTTGAGTTCCTCCAGAGATGACTTCACAGCCTCTCTGGGCAGGTCTGTCCCTGTGCTTGGTCACCCACACAGTAAAGCAGTAAACAGTGGCTGAGAGAGAGAGAAAGGGAAAAAAAGTCACTCAGGAAAGTCACAGTGCTGACTGACAGATGGCTGATAAAACATCTCATCCACATGCAGCAGGTGCCAAAATGGACAGCAYAAGGAGACATTAGAAGATCAGGGAATAGGACAAGGCTTCATGTGAATCTCAGTTGTACYTCCACCTGTTCAGGGAGGTGAAGGTCCAGGTCTGGCCACACAGCCCCAGCAAGGACATGGCCTGAACAGGGAAGGGAGAGAGAATGGTGAGAGGGGAAACTGGGAGGACAAGGAGGCTTGTCAAAGATTTAAGAACTGGAACAGCATGAGGAGCACAAATAGAGGAAATGATGTTGCATCACCAACAACCATCAGCTGTGAGTCTCAAACTAGTCCTCAGCCATCAAAGGCGGTCCCAGCACCTCCTTTGCTCCAACACCCTTCTCTCTCCATCAGTGTTTGGGACCTGGTATCTGAGCTGATCCCCACTCCACCAACCCAGTCCCTGCTAGCCCTGGTGTGTGTTTCCATGGCACCTGGTTGAGCAGCTGAAGATGGAACCACCAYGACAGGAGAAAGGAAGAGCAGAGGTGGATGGTGAAGCTCCTTGCTGCARGATGCCACCATTGCTGAGTAGGTGCCTAAAACCAGGAAGCCCTTAGGAACATTCAGGGAMGAAAAGTCCCTTTTGATCAGATACATGATGAGCAGGTTTGCTGAGGGGATAAAGGAATGTTGGATGAGCCGCAGAAACAGATACAAGCTTGATGGAAGGACTGAAAGACTATAGAGGGCTGCATGGAGACCCAYACCCAAAAAATACTGAACTGTCAGCCTGTGTACTCTTGGTCCCCAGCTTCAGTGGGGATTTTCTCTGTATGGTGCCCAGGGGCAGAAACCACGGGCAGCTCTCCAGAGCTCCAGAGGATTCAGACAGCTACGTTCCACAGMAGTTTGCAGCACCACAAGGCAGAGAGGTCCCAAATCTGAATCTTGCCCTGCCTTGGCTCAGCCTGACCTCACGAGCTCCAGGGGCTCCCAGGGAGCAGAGAGCTGCAGCCACTGCAGGGCAAGAGGACAAAAGGTGGTGAATAGCATGGGTAGGTGCAGCCCTCCAAACTCCAACCTCACCCTCTGTAGCCTTTYATCATGCATCCCCTCTTGCCCACAGGATTCTAAGCCTCACTGCACCCCTTGCCTCACCTGCAGCCCTTGCCTCACCTCKGTCTGGCCTGATCCTGCCACCCTGGGAGGTACCCAGGAGGGAAAACTTTGTGGCTCTGAAACTGCCCTAACTTGTGAGAACTCAGCCCAGGATCACTGCTGGCTGTTCATCATCCACAGACCCCCAGGAGAACASCAGGAGGGACCACACACCCCAGCACCCCAGGTTCTCCCCAGAAATTTACACCAAGATTKGGGGGAATGTCTTGGTTTGAAARACAGGTGTTTGCCAATGAAGGCAGGGACCCCCCTTGGAGTGGTGGAWATGASCCCCCTTCCCTYCRAATTATTRTAGCTTTGAAAAATCACGGGCTTCCAGGCAAGAATATGGGTAAAAGGGAATAACAGTTTTTACTAATATGTATAGCAAGGTGAAACAACTARTAACAATAGYAACAACCAGCCCAGTCACAAACCCAATAACAGCCTTACAGACACACCCTCCCCTTTGGTGCAGTTCCAGTCCCAGCCGGCAGGGGCGCTGTTGGCTCCCGGACAGGCAGGGCGGGTGCAATGATTCCCCCGCGGCTGCAGGGGGCGCTGTGGCGCGGGTCCCGGCTGGTTCAGATCTCCCAGTGGCCARTGRTGGACACAAAATGGCAGAGGTGGAGGGAGAGAAGTTCCTCTGCAAACTCACCGCKGAAAACCGATCTCAGTGCTCCTCTGGACAGCAAGAAACCCAGGAYGGYAAAGAGACAGGCAGAAATCCCGTGGCTGCGAAACGGGATGGAGCAGAGCTCACCCCTGAAGCTGGAATCCCCGGCAAGGCACAGRGGAGAAGATCACAGTGCAGCAAACAGGAACCCAATGAGCAGAGATGCTGGGCTCTGCAGAAAAGGGCAGGCCAGCTCTCCCTGGCAGCCAGCAAGGTCGACCTCCTTCTCCCAGCCAAGTGAAGTTACCCCCCACCACACACACACACCCTCCCAGTACTTAGAAAGATCGTTTAGGTGGGGCATAGGTCCCATTGTCTTCACTAATCGCCCACCTATCAAAAGGATGACCTGGCAATCAGTGTATCCCAGCAACTAAATGGGAAAGAAAAATTCCCCAAGAAGGAAACAAAAGGAGAAATTTTAACCCACAACAGGGCAGTTTATGTTTATTGGGCAAAAAGCAGAGACTGGGTGCTGGAGAAGCAGGGATTGTGTCGGGAGTCTTGAGCACAGAGCTTGGAAGAGGGATGTTGGAGCAGCAGCCTGGACCTTCAGAGCATGCGTCTTTCATTGCTTGGCAGGAGTATGCATGAGCCAGCCTGCACATCCTGGAAAACAGGTGGGAGAGGTGGGGGCTGAGTGAGGCAAGGAGACCAGAGGGGTTCTCTGGTGGGATCAGGGCGTTCTTCTCCAGTTCYCCCCAGACCGGTAGGGTGAGACATCTCCAGCAATGGGTTTCTAGTAACCCCTACAGCTGTATGTGCATCCATGTGGCTGGAAAGCACAGGCCAGGGGGAGTCAACAGCAAACACGTTTTATATGGTGACACACCAACCCACTCTGGCCAGTTTTGACAGACAGACAGACCACAAGCCCAGGTAGCCTTTGGCAGAAGCTGGTGTCCCGGTTCTCACTGCTCAAGGGGCTGTGCAGTTGTTTCTCTGGTGGTTTCAGCTCATGTGCCYGTGTTCAGTGCCAGGCACTGCTCCCTGGCAGACTCTGGGCACTGCTCCTTGGGGGACTCCACTGCAGAGCAGTGTCCAAGGGAATGGTCCTACCTCCATGGAAGCTCCAGCACAAGTTCAAACAGCTCAACACCAGGGAAATTCAAAGAGTTCTTGGTGGCCCTAGCTGGGGCACCAAGAGGGACAGTTTCCAGGAGAGGACATTGCAAACACATGTCGCACTGCAGCAACTCACCTACGGTTCATCGAGTCTGCATTCCTCTGTGGAAGTAAAGAGAAAGCCTGAGTCTGGCACTGTGGTCTGAATAGTCCCATTYAGCACCCAAAATAGACTATTCAGGAGGAACTTGTGGTTTTCTTCTTGCTTAATGTGCCCAGCCAGAGCACCTCTGGCTGCCAACAGTCCCTCCTGCCAGCTCAGACCACCAAGTGGTGGCACTCATGGGCTGAGCTGGTCCCTGCCTGCGTGTCCCTGTATTGCCCTGGGCAGTGCTCACCCTGCCTGGGTAGCATCCAGATTGTCTCGTTGGTGAAGCCGTTCATCTTGGCAAGTYTCTTAAACAGCAAGTTGATTTTGGGTTTCACATATTGGGTTCTGCCTAAAGACAAAGACATGAGTTAGCTCCAGGCTATGCCTACCATTACATTTCCTGGGAAACTGGTGAGTGTGTCCAGCCAAAGGCAGGATGGATGGCAGTCCCCAGGAGAAGGCTGGAGGCACTGGTGGAGGTCCTGGAGAGCAGTGGTGGCCAGGCACATGAGACACCCCACCCAGGGAACAAGATGAGTCAGGGGTCCTGACACCAGCACAGCAGTTCCTCTCTTGGTTCCTATCCACCCCCACTCTTCACCCCATTTCACCAAGCAATTTACCCAAGGCCATGGACTTGCAGCACAGTGCAGGAGCCCGAGCCCCAGCCTCCCCTGCCACCCCAAACCACTTCCCCTTCCCTGGAGCCCAGGGGACACACAGCAGCCCCTGCCTCGCTCCTGCACCTCACCCAGCACAGGAGTGAGGAGGGGATCTCAGGAGCCTCAGGAGCACCTGACCCCTCTGAGCAGTTTGCCACTGCTGGCTACGCACTGTAAAGTCTCAGCATGCGCAGTGTCTTCCCATCCTTCTCTCTGGTGGCAAAGAGAACCATGTAGCTCCTGCCGTCAGTATCCACCAACCGCACTGTCTTCTTAGTGCCTCTGTCTGCAAMAGAACGTGGAGAAAAAACAATTACCTCCTCCTGGAAACCTCCAYGCTGCAAAGGGACTGTAGGACCATGAAGCCCACCAAGCCCATCTTTCCTTGGTGTCTCCCCATCCTGGTTTTCTCTCTTACTCCTCTGAAAGCTGGGGCAAGGCGGGGAGCCCAGACCACAGCAGAGCAGATGGATGGGGAGTTGAGGGCAGGAAGGGCTGTGGATGSTCAGAGCAGGCTGTTGTCCAGTGTCAGGCTGATTCTTGGGCTGGGAATGGTAGGAAACTACTCCTGCCCCATCCTTTGGCAACATCCACCCAAGGTCTCTTTGCAGAATGAACCTGAATTTCCCCAGGGTTTAAGCTTGGTCTGAATGTATTTATCCCAGAGGGAGGGATTGGGGTGTTCTACCAAGATGCTGGACCACCAGCCCTGGGGTGCAGATGGCACCTGGATGCAGAGAGATGTCCCACTCAGGACGCAGGAGGGCCAGGCAGTCCTGAGGGCCACGTCCCCAGGGATAGCCAGCTGCTTCAGCCATGCCTCCAGCCCACCCCAAGAGCCAGGTTCCTTCCACTCACCTGTGCTGTAGTATTCGCGTGGCTTGTCTGTTGGCATGTAGGTTGACTCAAATTTCATACATAGCCCTGGGCTGCAAAACAGCAAAGGATGTTCCAGCTGAGGTGAAGTGACCCCCTTYCCCCTCCCCTGTTCCAGGGTTGCCATCCCAGATGTGGGACTTGCTATTCAGAGATGGGATGGTGTGGCCAGGGCAGGAGGGAACAGATAGATATCACCCTTGGAGCAGTGGGTGCCTGGGCTGGCAGGGGACAGTGCTGGCACCTGGGGATTATCCATGCCCTCACTCATGCTGAGCTTCTAGAATGAGACTGGTCATGCTGGGAAAGTTTTAATTGATGGGTCCCATCCCACCTTTTGTGGTGGCAGTGGTGCTGGCTGATGTTGCTGTGAGCCTGCCCTGAACAGGGGTGTGCCCACAACTAGCCCAAGTCCCTGGTGGTCCTATCTCATCCCCTGCCTAGGTGTGTGGTGAGTGCACTCAGGTGGGGACCCACCAGTGAAGGTCCAGGAAGGAGGTTGGTCAGTGTAGCCAGTGGAGAAAAGCACGTGTGGCTTACGTGGGAATTGCGAAGGAGACCCTCAGGTCACCATTCTCTAGGACGTCAATGTTGGCCATCGCCATCTTCAGCTGGTCCTTCTTTTGGAGGTAGCTCTCGGAGTCAGAGGCCATAGCAGTGATGTACCATGTCCCTGCAATCTGGCAGTGGGAGCAAGCTGTGAGTCTAGAGGAGCAGCCAAGACTGTTCTCTCCTCRGGGACCAAGCCAGGACATCCTCAATCCATGCAATACCCACATCACCTCCAGGCAACAAAATTCCCTTATGCTCCCTTATGGGAGCACTTATGCAGGAGCTGGGTGACTGTCCTCACCTGGGTGTGACACCAAAGCAATGGTGGCTGTATTGTCCCCAGCTGTCCCCAGCAGCAAAATGCCTCTATAGTCCTCCCAGCTCTGCTGGTGACTGGAGACCATATTCCCCCCTTCCCTTCCCTTCCCTTCCCTTCCCTTCCCTTCCC